TTTTTTTTTTTTTTCTTTTTTTTTCCCCGGCCGCTGACCTTCATAGTCGAAGATCAGAAATGTGGAATCCGGGTTAGTGGAGCGTGGCCTTTACGCCAGTTACAGTGGGGATAACAAATGTGCTTCTGATGATGACTTGCATGTGGTGAAATGATGCTCGCAGGGTGTATGAAGTTATGGAGCTGTTTAGCAGAGGCGTTCATCGAGTACTCGTGCCTATAAGTGACAAGCCAAGTGATGCTCGCATGGAGGGGGCGATGGATAGGGGCACATCTTCCCCCACAGGCAGCGGTAGAAGCTCCTTTTCCAAGGATGTCCAGAGATCAGCACGACATATATCTGCAGGCGGTAATATCCATGACATGCAAACGGTGTGGGTCGATCAGGATGGGGGTAAGGATGATCGTCGCGGATGTGACTCAAGTGGTTATTCGGCATTCAGGTTCTGTTCGCAGACTGACGTGTTGCGATTCCTGTTGCAGAATTCGGACGAGCTGGGGGCGGTTATGTCACGTACTATCGAGAGTCTGGGATTGAGGCAACGATCGGTGTTTGCAGTGCCGTCGGACATGAGGGTGTCAGAAGCTATACAGTGCATGAGACAAGCGTCGTTGTTGGCAGTTGCTGTCGTGGCAGCAGCGGAGGACATCAAAGACCCAGGCATGCTCGTACAAGGACAGGGAAGGAAGCTTGTTGGCACTTTGTCGGCTAGCGATCTACGTGGATGCAATGCTGACGTGCTAAAAGCCCTCCCGATGTTAACGGTTGACGAGTTTCTGACAAGAATGGCATTAGCCAAGACTCTTGGCATAGCTCGTGTCTTTGGGTTGAAGCCTGGGCAACTGCACTGCACGTCAACGAACGAAGCAGAGTCTGATGCACTGCAAATCGAGGGATCAGAAGACGGACAGAATGCGGAGAAGAACATGGAGGCTGCTGCGTTGCACGTGGGCCACGTGGACAGTCAACAGCTACCGCTCAAAACGCAGAACATCCGGTCATCAGACCTGCCGGGAACGTTAAGTTCTCGAAATGAAAACGAGGGGGAGGAGGAGGATGAGGAAGGAGAGGCATGGTCTTCGTCTGCCCCTGCTTGTGTTCCTCTCGATGCGTCGAAGGGACATGCAAAAATCGCAGACGTCAGACCCTCTGTCACATGTCTGCGATCCTCCACTTTGGGGACTGTCATGGCTCAGGCTTTGGCAAACCGAGTGCATAGGGTGTGGGTTGTCGATGATGATGACCTCCTGGAGGGGATAATGTCACTCTCTGATATGATCCGTGGTGTGCGAGTGCATGTAGATGCTGCCACTGTTCCAGGGTTTACCAGTGGGAGATTGTGAGAGCAAGAGAGCGAGAGGAAGATGCCCTTCTCGAGGGGATGTAAAACGTCGCTTTCTAGTGTGATCAATGTGTGTGAGGCTGCATGTAGATGCTGCCGCTGTCCAGCTACATGGAAGTGGCGGCATCTACATGCACAGTGTGTGTGTGTGTGTGTGTGTGTGTGTGTGTGTGTGTGTGTGTGTGCTGTCT